TTTTAAAACATTTAAAACATTTTTGTACATTTAAAACATTTTTGTACCTCGAACATTTAAAATGTTTCTGTACATTGTACAATTAAAAACATTTTTGTACATTGTACATTTAAAACATTTTTAAACATTGTACATTTAAAACATCTTTGTACATTATACATTAAAACATTTTTTTACATTACATTTAAAACATTTTTGTACATTGTACATTTAAAACGGTACTGTACATTGTACTTTAAAACATTACTGTCCATTGTACATTTAAACATATTTTTTTGTACAATAACATTTTGTGTCAAATTTCAATAATAAGAGGCTATTCACAGAAATGAAGGTTGGCTTGGACTTACTAAAGTGACACAGACATTTAGTCAGGTGGGAGTTGAAGCCCAATGCATGAGCACAATTGTGTTTATATAAATTGTTAAATCTGTCACAAAGAAAAATTGTATTTTTTATTATAATTATTATTGAATCATGAGAATATTATCTTGTTCTTTGTAAACAAATTTGTTTTGTATAGGATGGACCCTTACATGATTTGTAGACAAATGTGTTTTAAAAAATGTTAATTCAACTTTTCCATTGTAAACAAATGTATTTTGAATTTGACATTTACAGACAGTTCTACAGTCCATGACAAGGCACAATTAAACCGAGCCTGAACATTTTCATTTTTGCCGTTTTGGGCGTTCTTTAGAGATTCTGGTTTTTCCAAAATTTTTGTCCTTTGTAAAACTTATTTGTATTGTATTTTTTGATATAAAGATGTTATTAAATAAATATGTTTTATTCATTGTTTACAAAAATAGTTTGCTATTTGTATGGAAAGATGTTTCATTTACAGTTATTGAAATCTGTTAATAAATAGTTATATTTTATTTATAATATAATTATGTCACATGTTGTGGTTCCTATCTGAATATTTGTCCCGTACCCTTCCCAATGGGACTCCTCCATGGGGTTGTGTTGTTGCCCATGGGCGTGTACCTGAGGGACGATATTCCAATTTGAGCCGCAATATATATATTTTTTCTTGCATTTTCTACCATACCCTATCATATTTTAAATCTCTTTACCTCAATAAAACGATTTTCCATGGAAATTCATGTCATTTCTTCCATACTTTCTTACAACAACAGCATTATAGTATTACGACTTCATTCATAACAGCAAAATGACATCATCCTAAGCATGCAGTTCCATTATTAAATACGCGCAAATTATCTCATTTTAACGTGGTCATCATTCATAAAATGCACTAAAATGATGTTGTTTTATAGCAATCGACTCATCTGGCTTTCAAATGAAACCAAAATAAACAAAACTACCCTTTCACCAATCGTAATATCTTCGGCTAAGACTGACGGAAAGGAACGAAAAGTTGCGATTGCCCTTTAACAAAGTCTGAATGCATTCCAAATTAAGAGCATCGTGTTTCAGCGTGAACGAAAAACGTGTGTAGTCAACCCATTGAGAATTTCATTCACATTTAAAAAATACCTTACATGAGTAACTTCATGTAAAATATGGCTGGTAGACGCTCAGTCAAAAGTGGTGACTGGTTAGAGTTATAACATTACTTTGTATTCATAAAATGAAATGGTTGAGGGTTTTAGACTGGTTAAGAGTTAAAACATGACTGTGTATTCATAAAATGAAATGGTAGTGGTTTTTAGACTGGTTAGAGTTAAAACATGACTGTGTATTCATAAAATGAAATGGTAGAGGTTTTTAGACTGGTTAGAGTTAAAACATGACTGTGTATTCATAAAATGAAATGGTAGAGGGTTTGAGACTGGTTAGAGTTAAAACATGACTGTGTATTCATAAAATGAAATGGTAGAGGTTTTTAGACTGGTTAGAGTTATAACATTACTGTGTATTCATAAAATGAAATGGTTGAGGGTTTTAGACTGGTTAAGAGTTAAAACATGACTGTGTATTCATAAAATGAAATGGTAGTGGTTTTTAGACTGGTTAGAGTTAAAACATGACTGTGTATTCATAAAATGAAATGGTAGAGGTTTTTAGACTGGTTAGAGTTAAAACATGACTGTGTATTCATAAAATGAAATGGTAGAGGGTTTTAGACTGGTTAGAGTTAAAACATGACTGTGTATTCATAAAATGAAATGGTAGAGGGTTTTAGACTGGTCAGAGTTAAAACATGACTGTGTATTCATAAAATGAAATGGTAGAGGTTTTTAGACTGGTTAGAGTTAAAACATTACTGTGTATTCATAAAATGAAATGGTAGTGGTTTTTAGACTGGTTAGAGTTAAAACATGACTGTGTATTCATAAAATGAAATGGTAGAGGTTTTTAGACTGGTTATAACGTTTAATACATGACTTGAGATTTGTCCGTCAGAATGAGAAAAAATGTATGTGTATGTATCATGTGTTTATGTATGGATTCACTATATTTTTGTATATTTACCAAGCTATTTCAACTACTAGTAAATGAATTTACATGTATTAAACTTTGTTTTATCTTTATTACAGATGTAACGCTGGACAATATGCTGAATATATCTAGAGGTTCCCAAGACTCGGATCGGATCAGAGTGTATGTTTGCAAGTTCTGTGGTAAAGCTTGTCCATCCCAGTGGAAGTTAGATAGACACATGCACACACATACTGGAGAAAGACCATTCACATGTGATCTGTGTGGTAAAACATTCACACAAAAAAGTAACATGAAAACACATCAGCTCAAGAATCATCCCATGTGATTTGTCAATCATCCCATGTGACTTGTCAAGATTTAGATATAATTGCATAAATCATCCTATGTGACTTGTCAAGATTTAGATATAATTTCATAAATCATCCCATGTGACTTGTCAAGATTTAGATATAATTGCATAAATCACCCCATGTGACTTATCATTCATCCCATGAGACTTGTCAATATTTAGATATAATTGCATAAATCATCCCATGTGACTTGTCGAGATTTAGATATAATTGCATAAATCACCCCATGTGACTTGTCAAGATTTAGATATAATTGCATAAATCATCCCATGTGACTCGTCAAGATTTAGATATAATTGCATAAATCATCCCTTATGACTTGTCAAGATTTAGATATAATTGCATAAATCATCCCATGTGACTTGTCAAGATTTAGATATAATTGCATAAATCATCCCATGTGACTTGTCAAGATTTAGATATAATTGCATAAATCATCCCATGTGACTTGTCAAGATTTAGATATAATTGCATAAATCATCCCATGTGACTTGTCAAGATTTAGATATAATTGCATAAATCATCCCATGTGAATTGTCAAGATTTGTATATAATTGCATAAATCATCCCATGTGAATTGTCAAGATTTGTATATAACTGCATAAATCATCCCATGTGAATTGTCAAGATTTGTATATAATTTCATAAATCATCCCATGTGACTTGTCAAGATTTAGATATATTTGCATTAAATGTGAATGCCTCCAGATCAATCAAATTATGTCAGGAAAGTCAACCTTGAGAAAAATGTACTTAGATTTTAAGAAAAGTAAAGAGATTCACAGTTTAAGTAATAAATTACATGTTATATGCAATTAATGACTCATTTTTCAGTACTTATCGCTGTAACTTTTGCATACTGTTACCTGTTTACGGTAATTTTTGTAGATTAATATGCCGTTCGCAATATTTGTTCACTTGACATGTGTAATGTGTAAATTACTGTCTGTGTTCATTTGATAATTATTTTACTCTGGTGCAACACCACGGCATCGTTCCAAGGCAAGCTGTCAAGAAGTTTACCAGTACTAGTTGCCTCCACTTTCGAAAGGAACTGAAACTTCTGTACATGCCAGAGCAGAAGTACAGTGTGAATGACTATAGAAAAGATTTCATGATCAATCACTACGAAAGTGACCTGCGCTGTCCGGGAATGGAACCCGGGTTGCCAGATTCACAGTTGAACGCTCTACCTATTTAGCTAACCGGAGGGCTATATTTTACTTTTTTTTAAAATTTCATGAAAATAATACCATGAATCTGGAGGCATGCTGCTTTAAAGTGTGTAAGCCTGTGTTATTATCTGCTGCCTTCTCAGTGTTTGAATTTTGAAAAAGAATATTTCATAAAAATACCAGTAGAAATGATATTTTTTACATAAAGGGGTTGCACAAAATAGTTGCTTTTTTAAAACCATACTAAAAATATAGCTGCGTAATATTTTGTTTCTAAAATTTATATATTTTGTTAATGTTCAAATATTCATGTACGTTTGTTAATTAAGCAATAATATATCCCAAACAGTGATTTTATTGCTCAATAACGTCACTGTTTGGTGTTCCGATGCTACACCCTCGTGATATAATGATGCGCATCCGAACAACAAACCAAGCGATAAAAAAATTGTTTATAATGTAACTTTATAGAAAAAAAAACATTATACATAATACTATCATTGCTTATTTTGTAGATGGAAACATAATTCACTAATTACTATTTAATATTAAATTGTTTATCACATTTATTGTTAATATTTTTCTTTATTTTACAATAAACATGCTTGAATGAAAATTTGTTTGATTCACAAATAACTATATAATATTAAATTAAATTGGTTATCAGATTTATTGTTAATTTTTTTTCTTTATTTCATGACATTGTTCTTTTTATAATATGCGCACTTATTTGTTGTTGTTTTTTTTTTTAGAAAAAAAAAAGAGACTGAAATGGTTTAATGGATCTGTATAGAACGGATTTCTTGAGTTTTGCTAAACAACTGAAACTATTTTAATATTTGTGTATTGATTTAAAAGTCAAGATACCAGAAGAATTTTAGCTACAGTGACACAGAGGTGACATGTGTATGTTTTTATTTATTTCTTGGGCACTGGCTACTCTTCAAGGTGCCAGCAATATTAAATGTTATCCGGAACTCGACAAATGTGGATTTATTCAAGCTAACCCCCCCAGTACAAACAAAATTTTAACATTATGGTGCACTACCCATTACAATAGATTAGTCAACCTGTTGCGCTTATTTTCAAAGTTGTAACTGTTAAAGTTTGTTTGTACCCCCACCCTTGCCTTCCAATTATCTGGGAAAAACCCAAAATATTCTGAATTCCGGAGAAAATCTATTCAGGAGTGTATAGATACATGTAAATATATATTAAAGATTTGCCCACTAAAACAAGCGTTGCATCTGTATAAAAATTTTGTGAAATCAGTTGAAAGAGGAATTACCGGTATATATTATCATTAACTTCCAATTTCAGTACAAAATAATATTATGTGTGAAGAAACTCAAATATAGTTTAAGGATTTCACATTCTGTCATCAGTGAAAGAATTGAATGTTAGAGTGTTTCAAATGACCATGTTTAAAAATATCCCAATAAAACATTTAAAAATGTATTATATGTCATGTACAGAACTGAATAATCCATATACATGTATTAGTTTAACAGGCATGACATAGAAGGGAAATCAAGAGGGAGAAAAAAATGCTTTAAATAAAGGCTGTATATAAATATAATAATTCATAATAAATAAGAAAAAGCAAGAAAGACTGAATAAAAAAAAAACCTACATGTGATTTTGTACATTTCAGATGTGACGACACCACTACCTATTATGATGACAGACCAGCATTTTCAAGCAGAAAAACAGTTAGCTTGTGAAACATGTGGAAAAGTTTTCAAATCAAATTGGGCATTAAACAGACATGGTCGTATACATACTGGAGACAGGCCATATGCTTGTTCTCTGTGTGATAAACGTTTTATTGAGAGAAATAAACTTAAACTGCATTTTAGGACACATCAGAAGAAACAAATTTTAACATCCAATCAGAATCAAGATGATCAGTATTAACATCCAATCAGAATCGAGATGTTTATTATTAACTGCCAACCAGAATCAAGATGTTTATAATTAACAGCCAATCAGAATCAAGACAGTATTCACATCCAGTCAGAATCAAGAAGTTCATTATTATCAGCCAATCAGACTCAAAACATGTAGTATTAACATCCAGTCAGAATCAAGATGATTAGTATTAACATCCAATCAAAATCAAGATTATTTGTATTAAGATCCAATCAGAATCAAGATGTTTATATTAACAGCCAATAGAAATCCATTTGTCTTCATATATAATCTAAATCGGTTAGATTTTTTTATGTGAGGAAGCTTATATACAGCTAGCTTTTGAAATGATGGTGGTTTAATTCAGGTACCAGCTTGACAGGGGTGTACCTGACTACCTAAGGTCTTGCTCCAGCAGAAAATCTAGAATGCCACTATGAGTTATATTGGTTGAAGAACATTGAATGCTCTCCCTAGCCAGCAGACTTTATTAAGCAAATCATAAATATTACTACATGTACTAACACATACATGTTGTGTATTTTGTTATATTGCGTCAAGTTAATTTAGTCAGTGACTTACAGCAAACATGATGCTCGTGTTCTATTCTGTTATGCTCTGTAGTAACCATAGGAATTTTGTATGTTTATAATTTGACCTATCAATATGCTGTAAATTTTACCAATTTTTAAATGCGCTTGTTATGTTAGATTAAGATAATAATTTCAAAGTACACCCACTCTGACAGACATTATGAAAAGAGGCTATGTTAGCTACGCAGAAATATTTGCGAATTTTGCAAATTGACGAAAATCACTAAAATTTCCTCTAGCTTAAATATCAACTAACCAGTCATTTAAATCTACTCTTGCATGATTTGCTTATATATTTCCTGACTCAATATATTGTCTGGAATTTTGAATTCACTAACTTACGGACACACAGAAATTTCCACTTATAAAGTATATTGTTTGAGTGTTTTTGTTCATATATAGCATACGGTATTTCAGATTTTGTTCTGCTTTGAAAATGAATTTTGTAAATGTTAGTTTGTTTTTTATTGTTATTTTCTTCTGTAAAAAGCCATCTTGTAAAATATACTAATGTTTATACATTAAATGTTTATATAAGAAGCAGCCTTACTGTTGAATTGTAATAACTTTATCCAAGTTTTATTTCACTGTCATCAATCTAACAGTAACATAATAATACTGTTGTTTAAGACAGTTCAATATATTATTATATGTAAGTAAGCAAAACTTATTTAGAGGTGCTTGTTTAATACAGGGCTATTACACCTTTTTCATGCATTAAAATCTGCAGAAGCACAAGGATGCATGATTTAAGTGCTATCATTCTTGCTTAAAATTTAAAATATCATCACATGAGTTCAATTATGGGTTATTTAACTCCTTATATGATTTAATAGGAGGTAACTCAAAACTGCACTAAGGTGATTATATGTCTGATTTGTTAACCATTTTGCCATGATTCCCATGTGCTAGTCTCCTGTTATGAAACTTAAAAGGGGTACCTGATTGCAATAAGCTATTTTTACATGGTGCCAAAGGCAACAATTGTGTGAGATCACGTGATTTTATTCATTAATGCATGTTTTATTCACCTGCTTACATAATTATTCTTATGCGAGAATGATTGACAGTGTTAATTGTATCAATAATTAAAAAAAATTTCCCTCATATGGTATAACTGTTTAACAGTGATATGTATATCCTGGCCTCACTATGGAACATTTTTACAAGTACCGGGGTAAAGATATACATGTATAAATCAGTTTTAAACTGGGACTATTATAGGTTAGTACATTGCAATTACTGTCAGCCAAACTAATACATGTAACTGTGAAAAAATAGTATATACAGACAGGTTCCTGTTTTATTCTTGTTGTTTTCAGGTGAATCATGGTATGATATTGAAGACCAGTCTACATCTGAGCATGGCAGACGGCAACAATCTGTTACAGCCGGAGGACGACATTATTGTAACATGTGCGGAAAACTGTTTCCGAGCAACTGGAAATTACAGAGACATATGAGAGTTCATACTGGAGAAAAACCATTTGTCTGTAGTTTCTGTGATAAAGGCTTCAATGTGAAATCAAATCTCAAGGTTCACATAGTCGCTCAACATCATCATCAACTTTAACTGAACAATTAATGATGTGCTCACATCATTCTACATGGTGTTAGAATTTCATATTAACTCTTTGCTGAATTAAAAACAAATACAAAAATAATCAGATCAAAAATAAGGAACAATTTTACGATCAGGATCAATATTTGGATCAACTGTAACATGCCCATATCTTGTTATATTCCAAATTTCATAAACATTATAGTCTGAGTCCAGTCTTATCAAGCTAATAATTAATTTATGAAGTTGAACAAATTGGAATATTTGAGTTTTTAAATTTTATCCTGATCCTGATCTTTATATCTTAGCGAACATGTGCTCAATTTGTAAGATTAAAAAGGTACAATAGAGGCTCTTAGGGAAGACTATGTTGCCTCTTTAAATAAAGTCTTTATTATTATTATTATTATTATTATTATTATTATTACAATCATGTAAGTTGTGATAATAGCTAAATATACTGAATCAGATGTAGGTCCTAAATTTCCTGAATTGAGTGTTTATTATGTTGTAGCATTGTAGGTATATTATTACATTTTTCATGACCTTGATAATTTTTATTTAGGTGAGGTGGATTTGAGCCCCGTTGTTGCTTTAAGTTTGTAACACCTGAGGTTAGCTAAAATCATCGTCCCAGTGTTTTGGCGCCATATGTCCTAAATTGTGTTGGAGTGCCGTAAAACCAAACCAAGCAAACTATGCTGAGAGCTCGAGTCAATTGGTTATTAACCTTTAAAGTGCTCAATTCCATACAACAAATGAGCCGCGTCACGACAAAACCAACATAATGGGTATGCGACCAGCATGGATCCAGACCAGCCTGCGCATCCGCGCAGTCTGATCAGGATCTTTGCTATTCGCCATCAGTTTCTCTACTTGTTATAGAGTTTGTAAGCGAACAGCATGGATCCTGATCAGACTGCGTGGATGCGCAGGCTGGTCTGGATCCATGCTGGTCATTAACCCATTATGTTGGTTTTGTGGTGACACGGCTCAAATGTAGTTGGATCTTACTTTCTGTTAAGTTAAGTACTTAATTAAAACCAGGAATATTTATCACACACATCCCTGATAAAAATTTTAGTTAGATTATTTTCACCTGTGTCGGGTCCACATTTTCACATTACTTGAATATTTATCGCAAATCAGTGACTTGCCATTTTTGTCAATTGACCTTTCACAACAGTAAATAGAGGATATTGAATGAGTGTGGGTTGAATACTAAATTCGTTCAATACTAAAATTCATTGCGAGCCTCTGGGGAGCATAATATAATTTCATTGAGCAAGTTCAATAATTTCAGTTATGAACCTACGCAAATATTCTATTTATCACATACCCAAAATAAAGACTGTTTAAAGAAAAAAAGAATAACTTTTCATTGACACGGCTGTAATGTAACACTACCATTTAGCACATTTTTAACGTTAATATGTTCATATAAGGCAAATGACATCATGTCAAAATATATGCACAGAGGTGCAATACCGTTTTTACCGAGTCGCAAAAGTGGCTAGGGTATTTGATAAAATTATTTATTCGAGATAAGTTATTATTTAAGATATATTATTATTCGGGATAAGTTATTATTTGGGATAAATTGTTTGGGATAAGTTATTATTCGGGATAAGTTATTGTTTGGGATAAATTGTTTGGGATAAGTTATTATTTGGGATAAGTTATTATTCGGGATAAGTTATTATTTGGGATAAGTTATTTTTTGGGATAAGTTATTATTTGGGATAAATTGTTTGGGATAATTTGTTTGGGATAAGTTATTATTTGGGATAAGTTATTATTCGGGATAAGTTATTATTTGGGATAAGTTATTATTCGGGATAAGTTATTATTCGGGATAAGTTATTTTTCGGGATAAGTTATTATTTGGGATAAGTTATTTTTTGGGATAAGTTATTATTTGGGATAAATTGTTTGGGATAAATTGTTTGGGATAAGTTATTATTCGGGATAAGTTATTTTTTCACAAAATGATTTATCTTGATATTTCATAACATTCAGTGACTTTCAACATAATTATTAACAATTGTGCCCAATTATAAAACAAAATTAACAATACAGGTTTGCTTGACTTTTATTTATTTCTTCAGGACTAACTTACGTTAACTTACGTTGTAAGGACATTTTTTTTTTTGGTTCAAATCAATTGTTCAGAAAAACATAGAATTGAACAGAATACTGATAATCAGAGTTGAAAGGTCACCATCAGGTAGGTTTTCATTGTACATGAATTGTAAATGTTGATGCTTATATCAAGGTCACCGGGTTTAGTATAGATTTCTGTGTATCACAACATATGTAGAAGAAGTTAAAAATTATTTATTTTTTTCATCTGTTTTTCAGAAGGAAATAAACAATCCTATCCCTGTAACCATTGCGGACGTATGTTTGACAGGAAGTACAATCTTGAAGTGCACACACGAATTCATACTGGAGAACGTCCGTTCGTCTGCAAAGTTTGTGGAAAGGCTTTCAACCGAAAGTCAATTTTACAAGCCCATATGCTCACACACATGTCTAGCAATGTTTTATATTAGATTTAATTTGAGAAAAAATCTGCTTTTTCGAAGTGTAAATGTTCACATATGTGTACAAAAAGGTTCAAAGTTTTTTAACTACAATATATTTTATTGTTTTAAACATTATTATTCTTATTTGTTAGATGAACAGAAAATATAAAACAGTCACTAAAAACTATGTGTCATTACTTTTATACTCCTTACCTTTTTTTCCAAACAAAACCAGAAAATTAGATGTGTCCCTATAACAATTATACCCTTACTTTTGATGTCACTGTGGCATATTTTAGATGAGACAAGTAATTCACATTTCACTGTAACCTTGACCTAATAAACTCAGTCACGGTAAGCTTGAGCTAATTACCTCAGTCATTGTAACATTGACCTAATTACCTCAGTCACTGTAACTTTGACCTAATTATCTCAGTCACTGTTACCTTGGCCTAATTACCTAAGTTACTGTAACCTTGACCTTATTACCTCAGTCACTGTAATCTTAACCTAATTACCTCAAATTTAAGTCACTGTATCCTTGACCTAATTACCTCAGTCACTGAAACTTTGGCCTAATTACCTCAGGAAATGTAACCTTGACCTAATTACATAAGTCACTGTAACCTTTGGGCATATTGTCCCTATTGTCCAACAATATTGACCTGGCACCTCATTAACTTTCGTAAAGGTCATTTGAATAAACTCTGACCAGTATCTATCGAATATATCGACATATTTGCTAATTTCTCTCGTGGTGTATTGGTATAGATGTCGGACTAATATGGTCTGAAGGTCACAGGTTCGATTCCGTACCAACGCCATGTTATGATTTTTTTTTTTAATTTACTTGCAAGAATTAATTTGAAATCGGTTTACTACAACTGGTTTTAGAATACTTTTAAGTGGTGTTTTTTATACACAGTCATATATTTTTATTGTATTATAGTATCTTTCAACGTTTCTCTTTTTGACATTATGCAATCGTATATACTTTAGCGCACACACGCTATAAAGATACAACACAGATATTACACACAACAAAAACGTTTGCAATAGTTTTAAGAGAATGGCAATTTTAGAATTAAAATACAAAAAAAAATTTCGCTGAAATAGGATTCGAACCTACCAGTTAACGTCTACATTCCTCAAGTGAAATACCTTTACCAACTGCGCTAAGAGGGATTTTTATTTTACAATATTGTAACAATTTGATATTAATATTTATATCGATTTACAAGTAGATCGTGACAGTTACGGAATATACCGACTACAGGGTCAAATGCAAGAGTGCCAGGTCAATGTTGTTGGACAATACCAAAGTCTTAAATCATAGTGTTTGTTTTGAATGTAGGTATTTATAAAATAATATGTAATATAATGTAAATAAGTTGAATTTCTAACTGAATATGTCTAATTTGAATAAAAGAATAAATAAACTATGTTTGGGAAGCTGTGTTCCCTTTTACAGGTCAAGTAAAGTTGGTCTTTACTTAAAGGTCCGTGGCCAACATATGCACATGTATGCCAATTGTAATATTTGATTTGGAAGGAAAGCGTTGCCGGATTCATCAAGATAGAAAGTTATCCAGCTAGCTGACGGAAGTCTGTGGTTCTACTCAGGTGGCCGTTTTTGTCTGACAAATCCCCCCCCCCTGCTGTGTGACATAATCCTAATCAAAATAAAATTGCAAAGAGTCAAACACAAGTTTTACATGTATGTAGTGATAACAGTATCAATGTTGATAGGCGTACAATAACCAAACCGACATTTTAAAATTTCAAAAAGAGGGAGAGTAATCTTACTTATATAGTTTGAATCTCCTACTTCCGGTAAAATGGCAGCGACCATGCTGTAAATTCCTAATACAAAATATTCAATTTATACATATTCCACAACTTCAAACAACAACTATGAGTGGAAAAAAAGGAAATAAATTATCCAAAGAAGAAATATCTGTGCTTGCGGACTCTGTTTATGAACTTCTTAGTGAGAAATTTGACAAATTACAAGCGAGTATCGACAAATGTGCTTCCGAGGAAACCATCAATCATATCAAGGCCAACGTCCGTATAGGAAAATACGAGCTAGACCGCTTAGAGCAGTACACAAGACGGGAAAACGTAAGAATCCACAATTTCAAGTACGATGAAAAGGCACCTCTTCTCTCCTCAAAACCGTGGAGCTTTTTAACAAATTAAAAATCTCTTGATCAGTCTGACTCTGATGATTATACATTCACAGTGGATGATATTAGTGCTTGCCACCCTACTAAGTCAAGCACCAGATTATTGTGCGTTTTGTGTCGAGGGCAAAACTGCCATAAACTATTCTCGTTGAAGAAACTTTTGAAGAAATCAGAAAGTCTACAAGAACGTGTGTTTATCACCGAGGATATGACGCAGTTACGTGTAAGACTTCTTCACATTGTCAAGAAGTGTGATGATACATCCAATGTATAACACTCGTGATGGGAACATTCA